CAAGCACAGGCCGTTAGACACAACGTTGCCAGATCGCCCGCAGTGTTACCAGTCTCATTACTTTTCTCACGCACCTTGTATATTTCATTTAAATGTCTCCGCCTACTGAAGAAATAAAATTAGCAAATTAGTGCAAAAAGCTGCAAATACGAGTTGACCAGCAATGTTACATACATGTAAGTGGTGCTACAAAATGGCACAAACTTTCCCGTATTAGTTTGCTATTTCCTATGGTCTCGGTGAGCTATTCGCACTTGCCACAAAGTCTTGCCTGCTGCCATGTATCGTACATTTTTCGCACGTTTTTTTTGACATTTTCTTAAATCTTGGGTTTTCTAAGTGTATAGCGGAAACATTATTTTAAGATTATTAAAAATCAGTAAACCCCCGCTCCAAATGGCTATTTTCTTGGAAAAAATTGGAGCCGTTTTTGAGAAAATGGTGTTTAAGCGCTATTGTAAATTCGACAATTGAAACGCTTTTTCTCAGAAAAAATTTTGTTTTTCGAAAAACTAAATTTGAATTTTAAGTACATTAACTCACAAATACAATAATGTTTAAAAATGGCTGGAAATGTACATATCGACGGCGTGAGAGATCTTTCAAAAAATTTGCATTTGTGTAATTGTTGAGAAAACAAAAAATATACCGTAATGAATTTTACGCCAAATTAAGGAGTGCAATTAGCACCATCCGTTTGAAATGTTTGAAGAAAAAAATTTGGAGCAGTTTTTGAGAAAATGGCGTTTGAGAGTTTCTGAAAATGCAGTTTTCAGCTAGTTTTCACAGAAACGGTAGAGAAACTTTATACATTATTTAAAGCACATATACTCATAAATACAATAATGTGAACAAATTGCAGCTAATATAAATATTGACATGACAGGCATGTCAAAAAAAGTACATTTTTTTAATTTTTGAAAAAACAAAATAAGGCGTTTATGTCATCTTATAGAGTATCTTTTCCAAAAGTTTAAAGAAAAAATTGGAGCCGTTTGAGAAAATTTTGTTTTTGTATTTTTTTAAAACTGCATTTATTGCACGCAATTTTGCTCGAAAACTATTAAAATTTTCAAAAAACATTTACACCACCTTAATGAAAGAACTCACTATGGGGAACAAGTTTTACTTGAAGGAAAAAAATATCTATCTTCAATTTTGTAGTTGTAGGAAGATCCTGAAAAAAATTCAAACTTTTGAAATTTTCGAAAATTCAGAGTTAACCGTGAAAATCGGACATATGCCACCTTTATAAGTGTATTTCACTCTAATCTTACAAGAAATTTAAAGAAAAAAATTGGAACAGTTTTTGAGAAAATTTTGAAAATATCCCAGAATGAAAAGGTACCCCCAAAAACTAATGAATTCGTTTCCAAATAGCAGAGCTTCGAGTCAGGTCAAATGGACAGGTGTTTCTTCAATTTGAAAAAAATCCTACGCATGATTTAGGCGCAAGTGTTGTTCACATGCACTAGACAGGACAGACGTTTAAAAAACCTTTTCGATATCAGGAGACGCCAAAACGTGTATTTCCGTTGAAATCTCGGAATCGATTTTCTGCAGCAGAACTTTTCCTATACTACGCATATATGTATAATCAAATATATTAATTAATTGTAAATATATACATTATAATCAAATAATAAAAGTTTTGACTTGATAATTTTTGTTTTGTTAATTAAACAAGACTAAAACGTCAGCACAACTTCAGTACTTTCTGAAACCTCCTTAACTTAAGTGTAGACATATTCAATACCGTAACACAGGGATGTTCAACTTACAAAGCCTCAAGGGCCAAAACTAAAAACTTTAATATGGTTGCGAGACATTTTTTCTTTACTCGGACGATCTACGTCTGACTTCGCCGCAATGTTGATCTCGGCTGTTCTGAAATGGTGTGTGTGTGTGTGTGGAGGGGGAAATGGAACCATACGTGATATCAGGCGGTACCATACATAACGCAGTGAAAAACATTGGGATGACCTTTTTAAATTTACAACAAAATTCTTAACTCTACACTTAGCGTACGTACACTACACGTAACGTAACACCAAAGGGATGTTAACCCCGGCAGGGCACGAGCGCTAGACGCCCAATGTTCTTGCCCGAAACGGATGGAAGGGACTCTCTCTTTTGTTATTATTTTCGCGGGCCGCATGCGCGCTGTTGGACAGCCCTGCCTTGACACATTAAGGATAATTGTAATCGCTGAACATCAACAGTTCCATCATCTTTATTCACATTATCAATAGTGTATGGTAAGCAGTACATGCATTTAATATTTTGTTTGTTTCTTTCTGGGCAAAAGAGACAAACAGTATAGTGCGAATTAAACTCATATCAAGGCAAACACGGGATGTGAAGATGAGGTTTAATGAATTACTCAGGGATATGAGGTGACCTTTTTGCTGTACTACATTCGACCGCCTTGAAATGTCACTTCTCCACGCGTGCTTCTTACCTCAGTTTAATTACAGAAGGAATGTTCACCCGAGAGGGTACTTATTTCACTTACCTCAATGGGATGCTGGAAACTGCACTCCATCTTTTCCCTACAAAATTCGTCTTGAGAGTTAATTCCCCATCTACAAAAATCAAACATGTCTCTGGTATTCGTAGTAAAGAATCCGTAAAACGTTCATTCACGTCTCAAGTCTCTTATAATTTTCTAAGTAATATTTTTAAAATTCTGGTCTGAATTATACGATATCTTAAATGTGGCAAATAAACCGGCCATCATCTGATGTAACTGCAGTGTCTATATGACCATGAGGCTCTAGGGCTGGAGTCCCACCGGTGGCGGGATTTTAAATACCGGGGAAATAGCCATGTCGAATTCAGCCGCTTTCTGGAAAAGTGTTGCGGCGGCCGGCTGCTCCAATGGGATCCAGACGCGCCTACTACTACCCCGATTATTACTAGACTATATTCACTTTCTTCGATTCATTGACGCTAGCTTTAATTTTAATCAGTCTTTCGCGCTTACCTCCACTATCTCCCTTACATTTTCTTTTTTCAACGAGTATCGGACGGTGAAGGTTTATATTTGTTAGGAAATGTTTTATTACTTATTCTTTTAACTAATTCTAATAAAAAATCAATTATTTGGTAATTTGTTTAAAATTAAGAGCGTCATGAAGTGTCAATTGCAAAATTAATTTTATTGCGATATTCTTTTCCTTTCTGTATTTGGCAAAAAAATTCTTAATACTTTATTTAATTTTACATATATTTGATGACCATCGACTATATTTGGAAAATGACAATTTTCTTTGTATTTAAAACTTTATTATAATTATAATTATTATTACTAATGAAAGCAGTTACTTAAAAAAGTATCGACTTTGCTACATTATTTGCACCAAACGCCTAAAATTTATTTAACCAATAGTATACTTCCATTTTCCGATGTCTCGCATCCTCGATGACTCATTTTAATTTTAAATTCTTCATATTTTACCTGTTATATGGCGTTTATATTTTTTTATTTTAGAATGCAAAAGACCCGTAAGGTATTTTCCATTCTCTGTGAGCATGTACGTGAATGTAGTTTGGGGTTACAGAAATACCGTTATCTTAAAATGACATTTTCACAGCATTTCTGAAAAATTAGTTACCAGAGTTTTTTCGTGAACAGATTATTTTATGGCCAAGGATAATTTAGTAATGCACAAGTAACAGAATTTTTCAGAGATAAACTCTCTTTTATTTGTATTCTTTTACAAAGTCATGTTTGTACAACTACACAAGTGGATTTCATAAATCTGTAACACAAAAATTCAAATCTTAATTCTTTGATTGGATTCACAACATTCTTAGACAATATTCAGAAACCATGTTCATGTAGCAAATTAATTATCTTCATAGAGAGAGATCACCTTCATTGAGGTGACATTAATTAACATAAAATATTTTAAACAATAGTGAATATTACAATAACAACACAAAACTTTAAGACAAGTTCATAAGTAGAAGTTTCGAAAATTAAAAACACATGTATTAAGATTTCTGAAATGCACATTTCATAATGGCATTTCAAATGCCCAATGTTCGGTAAATGTTTAATAATGCTAATTTCTCTTTCAATCCATTTCTTGTTCACAGTATATGATTGAGTATTTAAATTCAGAAGCAAATAGTCCCCAAATTAATCTGCTACACAATACAAACCATCAGTAAATTAACAATAACAACATTATACAAATACATGTTCTGCCCCCAATTTCTCATCACATCTGAATGATACATTAGTAAAGAAATTTTTATTATGTATATTGAGAGTTGAAACAAACATTGGAAGTGCGAAGAAGCCATTTTAAGGATTATTTAAAGATGCAGAATTTAAATACACACAATATCTACACTCAACTGAAAACACATAGCATATCCACATAGCATATGGGGTACAATTTTTTTAAAATTAATAAACTGGACATTTTTTGATAACCCAATAACAACACACAAATTCATAGTTTTTCTTATACATAGTTTACCTTTACCTTTTCTCTAAGTTTAGAGGCTTTTGGAAGTATTTATAATTCTCGAAACAAAAATGAGACAACTTTAACATCTCATTTATGGAAAGTACCACAATTTCCAACCGCCAGGTCATTAACATTTTTAAAGACATCTCCGAAATTGCATTGGTATAATCATTTCTCTACCAGGGAAGACATTCATCATATAATTCCAGCCCGAGACTAGAAGAATTGCTGATTCCTTTGGCTCAAATAGGGAAAGGCGGCAAAGGACATTACCATAACAAAGAATGACAGAATTTGAATGTCTTGTAATTTGTTTTTCATCTAGTATTTATTGTATTGATTATTTGTATTGATCATCCTACATATGGGCTGATCACGACAAGATGTTATTTTGAATCTTTCTTGAATGAAAACTCCCACATTTTCATCACTCTCTTTTAGGATGTTCTTTAAAAAAATTACGTGATTGTTACAATTACAACCAAGATGCAATAAATATTACAGGCTCAAAATTAAACACGGTTCATATACAATTATCCTGTTTCCCTCACATCAGTAGTATGCAAAATAATGGAGCATTTAACCCGAATTACGGTCACCGTTGCGAAAACGCAACACCAATTATTTAATTTTTTTAAAGAGTGTTTGAAATGAAACTCCTAATACATTACTCTGAACTCTTCTTTATTCTGTTGTTCTGCACATTTTTATACAGTTTTCTCACCATTTAGATTTATTTTGGGTTACGTTTTCCACCGAATAACATCGCATATTTCTAATTAGCTAAAAGAGCTCCTTTTTGTAAAATTCAAATAAGTATTTTACTTTAGTGTAATGCTATAGTGTTTATTGAAAGAGTAGTAACGAAAATTCAAAGATCATACTCATTGTTGCGTCATTATATCGGATCAAATTTCCCTGTAGCGTTTTCGCAACGTTGGCGCAATCAGTGATCTTTCCGAGAAGCAGGTCCCGACTCGCACAGGCGCATGTCGTCTTAGAGCGCTCTCGTAGACGACGTGTAATATTACCGTTTCTTCAGTTCTCCCGTGACTTTTGCCGTTTTCATGCCAAATAAGTTCGATTTGTTTCTTATGCGTTATTTATCACGTAGTGGAATAGTTGTGGCCAATGGTAAGTATCTTTTTTGCAGTAAGGAAAGTAGGGTTGCCACCTCTCCGGTTTTAGACCGGAGACTCCGGTTTTTGAGCTTCATCTCAGGTCTCCGGTTTTTGAAAAATTATCTCTTTTTTTTCTCCCAATTTCAATACATTTTCAATTTTTTTACAAAATAAATAG